CTTAAAAACAAAGTACATGTGTTATTTATCTTTGTATACTCCATCAAAATGCCAGGTATATATGAAACGTGTCAGAAGTATTTATTGAATTAATACATAAATAAATGATTACTAGGCACATTATAGAATTAACCAGAGTTCCCCTTAGGGAGAACTTTATGTATGCACCAAGCACTCACTCATTCACTCTGATATCCCTTGGAATTTACGCAGGAAGGGGCCTCTCCAGGATTAGTTCAGGACCATTGCCAGAGGCTATGATGGTGAAACTGGCCTTCTTTCCAACCCACCTGGAAAAACTCCATTTTGTCTTCTCTTTAAATCATTCAAATTACATCTTTCTAAGGAGGTATTTGCCTTGGCCATTTCTATTTTCTCTCTGCAGATTAACCATCTTTAATCTAACTGAAAGTTTGCCTTTACGCAAACGGAGATGAAGGATGAATTAACCAATTTGAGCCTTGTAGGAGAGTTGTACGAGCAGTCTCTCCTGGAGTACAGGGACCTTATCCCTTGAAGCCTACTGTGGTGCTGTTGATCTCTTGGCCTTTCAGTAACTGTCATTTGGGACTATTGTTGCTGGCAATTAAAGACTCTTAGGTCAGCTGGAAAGCCGTCTCCAGGTACTTAGCTGTAGGTCTAGGCTTCTTCCAACTGCTCTTCATGAAAAATCATATGCTGAATTCACAAATGACTCCTTTGCTATTAAAAGAAGAAGCTGCCTCATAGAATTATGAGCCATTCCAAGTTCTGGATTCTGTTGCACACTACTGGCTATTTAAGAATGAAATACTTGGTTTTTTACACTTAATGATGAATGGAGCTGTATGAAATCATATGATATGCAGATTTTTAAAATTAATTATAACAAAGTGAATTGTAGACTTCAGAACACAGATTAATAGCATACCTTTTGAAAACAATTTATAGTATGCTTTAAAAGTTTTCTTATCTGTTTAAAAGTGTTTTCCAAACATACAATTTCCATTTTTAAATTTTTGAATTTATACACACACACATACAATCATAGGTATTTCTACCGTGGCAACAATTCCTTAACCAGTTTGTTTCAGAAGCCAAGTTCAGGGACACTTTCTAAATGTTCTTTTGACTTTGTAGCCTCTAATGCTTTCTTAAAATTTGGAATCTAAGCTTAACTCAAACCTGGATTATAAATTCAAGTAATAGGTAAGTTGTCAGCTTTAAATGAAAAAAAAAAGTAATATTGAGAGATTTTCTATCAAAATATTCAAGAAATATTTGTTGAAAACATCTTTTTGTGTAGTATTCATATGGATGCTTCAATGAATTCCACATAAGTTTATATGGCACAGTCACTTCTAAAAGACAGAATAGGCGAAACCCTCACATGTATTTGTGGGACATTTGTGGTTTATATTACCGTATTTCCTGTACATTACTCGGGTATTAACTCAGATATTATCAATCTAGGTAAGAATACACTCCCTTTCCAGCACTTTAGTGGTGGTGGTGAAAGCAAAGGTGAGACTGTTTTCATATGCAAAGTTGGTTTGTTGTTGTTTTTCATTGACTTTCTAATTAAGTAGAGTGACCTCCTGGGCATAGTTTGCATAGTCATAAGATAGCCTTAGAGTACCACAATTTGGGAGACTGGACAGGCCAGGGGCAAAAATAGGAAGCAGGGAAAAGCAAAAAACAGGAAAACATTGAAATATTTTCCAAGTTACGATTTTGCAGAGGGATCTGAGCACTGCAATCTGTGTAGTGTTAAAAGTCACTGCTTGTAATCCCGGCACTTTGGGAGGCTGAGGCGGGTGGATCACGA